GGTTTCTGGCTTTGGTGTCATTGTTAGGAAAGCTTTCTTACCCTCAAGATTTTTTTTTTTAAGTGTTTTCTTTGATGACTTTATTGCTTGTATTTAATTTTGTTTATTGTAACTAGATTTGACTTCTTTTTCTTTCATTAATACAAGGGTGCTTTTTATTTATTTATTTATTTTTAAATTTTTATTGTTGAATGTAGAATGTATTACAGATGTTCCTCATTTTTCCCCCATTGACCCCCTCCTCCCAACCCCCCTCCCGCCTTTTCCCACACTATTGTCTGTGTCCATTGGTTATGCATATAAGTTCTTTGGTTTATTTCTTCCCACCCCCCCCAACCCCTTTCCCTTTGAGGTTTGTCAGTCTAGCAGTGAATTTGTACTTCTTAATCCCTTCACCTTTTTCACCCATTCCCCCAACCCTCTCCCATCTGGCAACCAACAAAATGTTCTCTATCTATGAGGATGTTTCTGTTCTACCTGTTCATTTTGTTTGTAGATTCCATTGTTGATAGATATGTATTCATTGCCATTTTGTTTGTTCATACATTTTATCTTTTTCTTCAAAAAGACCCTTCATCATTTCATATAATAACGGTTTGGTGGTGATGAACTCCTTTAACTTTTTCTTGTCTGGGAAACTCTTTCTATGGACATCGAGTCTAAATGACAGCTTTGCAGGATGGAGTAATCTTGGTTGTAGGTTCTTGCTTTTCATCACTCTGAATATTTCTTGCCACTCCCTTCTGCCTGCAAAGTGTCTTTTGAGAAATCAGCTGACAGCCTAATGGGAACTCCCTTGTAGGTAACTAGCTGCCTTTCTCTTGCTGCTTTTAAGATTGTCTCTTTGTCTTGAACCTTTTGCATTTTGATGATGATGTGTCTTGGTGTGGGCCTCTTGGGGTTCATCTTGTTTGGGACTCTCTGTGCTTCCTGGACTTGTATGTCTGTTTCCTTCACCAAGTTAGGAAAGTTTTCTGCCATTATTGTTTCAAACAGGTTTTCAATTTCTTGTTCTTGCTCTTCTCCTTCTGGCACCCCCAAGATGCGAAAGTTGGCCCGCTTGAAGTTGTCCCAGAGGCTCCTTACACTATCCTCATTTTTTTGGATTCTTTTTTCTTTTTGCTGTTCTGATGGGCATTTTTTGCTTCCTTATATTCCAAATCGATGGTTTGCTTCTTGGATTTACGTACTCTACTATTGGATCTGTGTAAATTATTCTTTATTTCAATTAATGCCTCCTTTATTTCTGACTGTGCATCCTTCATTTCTGACTGGCCCTTTTTTATGCTCTTGAGGCCCTCACTAAGTTCACTGAGGTTCGCACTAAGTTCATTGAGCATCTTTATAAGCAGTATTTTGAACTCAGCATCTGTTAGGTTGCTTATCTCCATTTCACTTGGTTCTTTTATTGGGGTTTTGTTCTGTTCTTTCATTTGGGACCTGGTTCTTTGTCTCCTCATTTTGGCTGCCTCCCTGTGTTTGTTTCAGTGTATTACTTAACCAGAGGTATGGGGCTATCTGGGACCAAATGCTGCTTGTTTGAAAGAATTTAGGAAAAACCTGAAGCAGGATCCAAGACAGGCCAACCCTATGGTTAAGCAAGTGGCAACAGCTTGGGTGGGCTTGAAAGTTGGGTGGGCTTGAAAGTTGGGTGAGGCGGGGCCTCAGGGAGTCACCAGGGCGGGGCTACCAGTGTGAGCCAGGTTGCTGGAAGCCCAGATATGGCAACTTTCTGCCGCCCCAGGGGAGGGCTCACCAAAGGAACAAAGGCCTCTGACAGCATGTTTGTCCCTGAGAAAGCCCCCTCTCCAGCCCTCACTCCAGTGCCAAACAGCTCAGTTCTTCCCTGTATGTCTCTGGCGCCCCTCGAGCTGCCTCCCCTCCAAGCTTAGAGGGAGGGAGTCCGATAAGTCCGTGCACGGGCCCTTTAAGGTGCTGCCTGGGGCTCCAGCCGCATCAGCTTCCCTGAGCCTCAGTTCCTGCTGGTTTTTCTTTCTTTTTTTTTTTTTTTTTTATTTTTTATCCTCACCGGAGGACATTTTTCCATTTTTTGTTCAGGTAGAGTGGGAGGGAGAGAGAGGAACAGAGAGAGAGAGAGAGAAACATCGATGCGAAAGGAACACATCGAGTGGCTGCCACCCGCACAACCGACCAGGGCCGGGGACAAACTGCAACCGAGGTACATGCCCTCAGCGGGACCCGAACCCGGGTCTCTCAGGACCGCAGGCCGACGCTCCAACTGCTGAGCCAAACCGGCCAGGGCCCTGCTGGTTTTTCCAGCCAGAAGTTATGGGGATTCTCTTCCTGGCACTTGAACCCTGAGCGGGGCACCTGGTGTGGGACGGGGACCCCTCAGTCCTCAGGAAGGACCTTCCCAGCTGCGGGAGCCTCCTGATTTTTATCCGCCACACGGCGGTGTGGGACCAGCCCGTCTGCCTCCGCCCCTCCTACTAGTCTCGATGCGGCTGCTGCTTTAATTCCGTAGTTGTAGGACTTCCATTCAGCTTGATTTCAGGCGGTTTTGAATGATGGTTGTTCTGTAGTTTAGTTGTAACTGTGATGTGGTTGTGGGAGGATGCGGTACCGCGTTTACCTACCCGCCATCTTGACTGGAAGTGTGATCAAGGGTGCTTTTTAAAGTTTTTTTTTTTAATCCTCACCCGAGGACATTTTTTTATTTTTAGTTCAGATGGAGTGGGAGGGAGAGAGAGGAAGAGAGGGAGAAACATTGATGTGAAAGGGACACCTCGAGTGGCTACTTCCCACATGACCCCAACCAGGGCTAGGGACGAACTGCAACCGAGATAATGTGCCCTTGGCCGGAATCTAACCTGTGACTCATTGGTCCACGGGCCGATGCTCTAACCGCTGACCCATACTGGCCAGGGCATAAAGTTTTTAAGAAAATGTTTTTATTGATATTTTTAGAGAGAGGGGAAGCGAGAGAGAGAGAAAGAAACATCAGCCCTGGCCGGTTTGGCTCAGCGGTTAGAGCATCGGCCTGCAGTCCTGAGAGACCCGGGTTCGGTTCCCGCTAGGGGCGCGTACCTCGGTTGCAGTTTGTCCCCGGCCGTGGTTGGTCGTGCGGGTGGCAGCCACTCGATGTGTCCCTTTCACATCGATGTTTCTCTCTCTCTCTCTGTTCCTCTCTCTCCCTCTCTGTTCCTCTCTCTCCCTCCCGCTCTGCCTGAGCAAAAAATGGAAAAATGTCCTTGGGTGAGGATAAAAAAAAAAAAAAAGAAAGAAACATCAGTGTGAGAGAGAAACATCGATTGGCTGCCTGCCTCCTGCTCGCCTCCCACCGGGGATCGAGCCCGTAACCCGGGCATGTGCCCCAATCAGGAAGCGAACTGGGACCTCTCAGTCCATGGGACTATGCTCAATCCACTGAGCCACACTGGCCGAGCTTAAAGTTTTAAAACAATTTAAACATGTTGTTCTCTTCTATATATTTCATTAGCATTAGTTTTGGAATATTTTGCAGGATGTCAGAGGGTGACTGGTTAGGAAGAATATAGTATACCAAAGTATGCATGTATATGTCATTTCACCATGAGAAGGAAGTCTGTTTTCCAGTGTCGATAGTATCTGAATCCTTTCTGGGTGTATGTTACTAAAATGTTATATCAGATTAGCATAGACTAAATTATTTTATTTAATATCTCTAGTGGATATTGTTCAAGTCTTTTCAGCAAAGGACTTTGCCAAAAATACACCTGGCCTTTCTTTTCTGTGGCTTATAGCACAAAGGATTGGAGAATTCAATACTTAATTTCAAACCTTTAAAAATACCATTTTTTCCTGTTTAAGAGATCATTTAAAATTTCTTTGGATTCTTTCTCTTTTGCATAATAGTACATGTAGTTTGTACTGCTGATTAAGATAAGACCAATCTATCATATATATTTTTTATCCTCACCCGAGAACATTTTTCCATTTTTTGTTCAGAAAGAATGGGAGAGAGAGAGAAACACTGAAGTGAAAGGGACACATCAAGTGGCTGCCTCCCATAAGACCCAACCAGGGCTGGGGACAAACTGTAACCGAGGTACGCGCTTTTAGTGGGAACCGAACCCGGGTCTCTCTGGACTGTGGGCTGATGCTCTAACCGCTGAGCCTAACTGGCCAGGGCTGTCATAGACCGCGACCAGTAGTCCTGTCCTCTGCTGAGATGGATTGGTTTGGTTTGTGTAATTGAATCCTAGTACCTTAAAAGGTGTGAGGGTGTCAAGGACAGGTAGGTTGTTGAGAAAGAGAATATAGAAGTGTTACTCCTTTGTTTTTATAGCCCCAGAGCCCCGCAGTCTAAAGGGGATGGAGGCTCAGGAAGTTCAGGAGAGTAGGTGAAAAGAAATACTTCAGACAGGATTTAAATTGTTTTTTGGTTTTTTTTTGCTGGTCTTTTGCATTTGGTAGCACAGCAGTTGTAGCAACATTGTGTTTCTATTTTGATTATTTTCAAAGCCAGAGAGAAAATTGCGGGGATTTTCCTTAGTAAATCCATAATTTTAATAGCATAGCATTTCCAGTTTAGGAGAATCAGTGTTTTCCCAAGTATGTGAATTTGACTAAAGGGAATACAAGATTTATGTTAAAGGCTTATTGGGGATCAACTACAAAAGAGAGAGTACAGAGGGGAGAAAATGTAAGTGCCTGTTTTCATTTATATATAGTATGTACAAAAAGCCATTTTACACATTTAATCCTTTTAATCCTCACAGAAATCCTGTGAAATGGTGTTTTCCTGATTTGCAAGGAGAAAACAAAGGCTCAGGGAGTGAATTCACATTATTTTGTCTAGGCTCACAAACCCAGTAGATGTCTGGGATTTGAACACCAGTCTCTGAATCTAAAGCCAATTCATATTCTTTTCACACAAGTATATATTGACTTCTAAAATACCAAATTTATTATGTTTTAAAATACTTTATCGGTTTTATATAAATGTTGGTAACATTTAAAATGGCATATGTTGGAGATGTCATCTTTGGTTCTTCTAGGTAATATAAAGCCTGTGTAATTTCCTTTACCTTCCACCTTAGCATTGAGAGTAAGCATGAGGTTACAATCCTGGGAGGACTCAATGAATTTGTAGTGAAATTTTATGGACCACAAGGAAGTAAGTACATGTGTTGGTATGTGTTCTTCTATTATAGTCTTTTTTATTCTTAATAGACAATGAAAATATCAAAGACATGGTGTATGTGTGGTTTTTGAAAAGTAAATTTACTTGAACTCTAGAATCAGTGAGGAAATCTTGCTGTTAATCACAGTTACTTCATATGCTTTTCTCTTTTATCTCTGTGTGACATTATTAAATATAAATTGTGAATTCTAGGTTTTGTATGAATGGATACATTGATAGTTTAGGGAAATGAATTTTGTTTTATTTATTTTTCTGGTGTTTTTGTGGAGTGGGGCATGGGGTAGATTGAAATTAGAGGCTATTACCAAAATAACTTGGACGGTATTTAATACTTTAAAGAATCAGGTAATATGAAGGAAAAAGTGAACCTTTTCTCATTTTCTAACTGGATTTTTAAAAAATCCTCACTGGAGGATATTTTTCCATTTATTTTGAGATAGAGTATGGGAAGGGGGGAGGGAGAAGCAGAGAGAAACATTGACGTGAGAGAGATACATCAACTGGTTGTCTCCTGTCCGACCCTGATTAGGGCTGGGGACCGAACTGCAACCAAGGTATATGTGCCCTTGACTGGAATCAACCCCCGTGACTCTTTGGTCCTCAGGCTGATGCTCTAAACACTAAGCCAAACCAGTCAAGACAAGTAGATTTTTTTTTTATCCATTGATTATTAATTTATTTATTCATTTATTTATTTTTAGAGAGAGAGAGAGAAACATTGATTTGCAAGAGACACATCAATTGGTTGCCTCCCATATGCACCACAACTGGGGACAGGGGATTGTGCCCTTGATCAGGAATTGAACCCGTGACCCTTTGGTGTGTGGGCTGATGCTCTAACTACTGAGCCAAACCAGCCAGGGCCTAACTGGATTCTTAAAGAAAAGTATTTTAATCTGAACATACAGTTAGTTATAAGAGGTTCCTGACTCTCAAGGGAATTAATTTGCAAAGTTTTCAAAAGAGATCAGGATTTAATATTTCATTTACTCAGGTTTGTTTTCTAATTTGGATACATATTTTTAATGTGTAACAATTTTACTTCTCTTTCAGCACCATATGAAGGCGGAGTATGGAAAGTTAGAGTGGATCTTCCTGATAAATACCCTTTCAAATCTCCATCTATAGGTAGGTAACTACTACCCAGTTTCTCTCCTTAGAGAGTTTGGAAATCAAAGAGGAAAAGAAAAAAAATCCTACATTTTGTAAGAGATAATCCAAATATGGTTCGTTAACTGAATTTTTCCTTCTTTGGCTTTGGGTAAATTAATCAGTGACTTTTTAGGGGACTTTTAGGGTGTGATAGAAAATGTTTAAATATACCCTTTGCCTGACTGTAATGACTACAATTCTAGGTTTTTCTTTCAGGGTCAGATTTAACACTTATAAGGCTCACATTGTCCATTGTCTGTAAGCAATAATATAATAAATAAATCTTGCCCGGCTGGTGTGGCTCAGTGGTTGAGTTTCGACCTGTGAACCAAGAGGTCGCCGGTTCGATTCCTGGTCAGGGCACATGCCCAGGTTGTGGGCCAAATCTTCAGTGTGGGGCATGCAGGAGGCCGCCAATCCATGTTCTCTCTCATCGATGTTTCTATTTCTCTCTCCCTCTCCCTTCCTTTCTCTCTAAAATCAATAAAGAATAAAAAAATTTTTGAATAAAAAAAATATAAAATTTTACTTTAATTGCCAGATTGTTGGAATTAATATTACATAGTATCTTTTCTAATTCTATCATTTAAAAATCCTCTCTGTGTCCATTTCATTTTATTCATTCCAGCTCTGGGTACCTAGCAATGAAATGACATTTTTCATTCTCTTCACTCCCAATCTTTAGTCCTTGAAACAGCTGAAGAAAGTAGAGTAAAAACCTCAGTGAGCTTGTGTAAAGAAGTTTTCCTCACCTTCATTTTCCTTCTGCTCTAACTGGTGATATTTTGAAGGTGTCACCCCCATTAAGGCCCTTGTGACAGTTTAGGTATTTTCATGTCAGATGCAGTAGAGGTAGGTATGTCTGATTGGAGGTTAACACCTTAACTATTTTGAGATTATAGAATGATAGTAACTTAGCTCAGGTAGTAACTTAAGCCAGCTTTTAAAATTTTCATTTTGTAGGTGACTTCAAAATATTATAAAATACTGACCAAGTTTAAGAAAAGAAAATTGGAATATATTGAAAATTGCCTGGCAGTCACACAAAGCCTCATGTTCAGAATTGCCAGAGTTCAAACATCTTGCTGCTGCTGTGGGCTTATCTTTGGAACTAGTGCCCGATCTCTGGAAGATTAGACGCACACCCCTGCCCCAACAAAAGGGTGTTTGTTTGATTTTTTAATCCTCACCCGAGGACATTTTTTTTCCATTTTTTTTGTTCAGATAGAGTGGGAGGGAGGGAGGGAGAGAGAGAGAGAGAAACATCAACGTGAAAGGGACACATCGAGTGTTTGCCACCCACATGACCCTACCAGGGCCAGGGCAAACTGCAACCGAGGTACATGCCCTTAGCGGGAACCAAACCTGGGTCTCTCCGGACCACAAGCCAACGCTCTAACCGCTGAGCCAAACCGGCCAGGGCCAAAAGGTCTTTTTAAAGAGGTAGATCAAAGACATTGTGAGCTTTATGCTTTGATTGTAAGGCCCCACAATTATGCCTAAGATAAGTAATACAGAAAAGTTAGGATAGTCACAGACTAATAATTCCCAGTCGAATGCAGCAGCCTGTCTGCCAGCATCTAGCTACTTTATATGCTTTAGAGCTTTATGCTATAAAAATACTACAGAGCGTCTCTTAATTCCTTCTGAAGCTAGGAACAGTTAGTGCTCATTTTAAGAATAAACTGCTGCCATGGTCGGTTTGGCTCAGCGGTTAGAGTGTTGACCTGCGGTCCGGAGAGACCCAGGTTCGGTTCCCGCTAAGGGCATATACCTCGGTTGCAGTTTGTCCCTGGCCCTGGTTGGGTTGTGTGGATGACAGCCACTCGATGTGTCCCTTTCACGTCGATGTTTCTCTTTCTCTCTCCCTCTCTCTCCCTCCCACTCTATCTGAGCAAAAAAAAAAAAAAAAAGGAAAAATATCCTCGGGTGAGGATAAAAATAAAATAAACTGCTGAATTCCTCTTATGGTCTCTTAGGCAAGTTTTCTAAACTCAGTAATTGAGAAGAACTTTGTGGATAATTGAATTGGAATTGTCCCCATTGCTACAAGGGTCTCTGAGCTTTCGAATTACCAACTGGTGAACTAGGAGGGGAGCTGTGAGGTGTTGAGTCTTTGGGACAATCCCCAAGGATATATACTTTACTATCTGTGTAGTTGGCAACAGCCCTGTCCCAGTGCCATTCTAGGGTAGTAGGTTCCACTCAGTTTGGGAGGGCTTTTCATCATGTTGTGGTTCCCTGTTTCCCATTTGCTGTCTGGACTTTAGGGTGTTGCAGTTGAGTGGCGTGATCTTTAACTTTTACCAAAAGAATGTCCAAACCATAAAAGTTTATTCTAAGATGTTTCATAAATACCTATTTACTTAGACTAAAAATTGGCATGCTAAATCTAGTTTCGTTACTCTAGATTCCTTGTCAGAGAAGAAACAGTATAGCTTGTGGAAACTAGTAGTGACCCTATAGAAATGCAATTACAGCCTGGCTGGTGTGGCTCACTGGTTGAGCATCAACCATGCACCAAGAGGTCACCGGTTCAATTCCAGATCAGGACACATACCCAGGTTGTGGGCCCAGTTCTCGGTTGGGGGCATGCAGGAGATGGCAGTAGATGTTCACTCTCATCGATGTTTCTCTTTCTCTCTCTCTCTCTCTCTCTCTCTCTCTCTCTCTTTCTCTCTCTCCTCTTCCTCTCTCTCTAAAAATCAATAAAGGAAAAAAAAATTAAAAAAGAAATGCAATTACATATCCTGTAGAAATGTAGTTATTTCTCAGACCTTGTCCTAACATATTTTTCCAGATAATGCAATTGTTTCATCATAACTTCCAAAGTGAAAATATCTACACTTTAGACATTATTTATTAACTAATGACACAACAGAAGCCTATGTACTTTCTTGTATTAATGATGTAATATGAAATTGGTTGGGACAAATGACAAGGCTAATTTAACTTCTTAATTTTTCCTTTGCCTTTCTGTGTGCTTTTAGAATTTGTAATACCTACAAATGTATACCATCTTCTCTTAAAAAAGTATATCTAGTTGAAATATTTGTACAAGCTGTTCTTGTTTCCTCCAAAGGAAGATTGCATAAGAGAGATTTAATAAGTTGTGTGGGGTGACCCATTTTCAAGTTGTCAACAATGTAATTACTGTTGGAATGCGCTTTAAACACTTCAAGGGGATAGTGGCTCATTTAGAATAAGCAAGGCTTCCTTTTTGAGTTGTATAGGTAGTTATAGAATTATACTGAATGGCAAGGAGAAAAGAAAAACCCAACTTCAGTGTTCTTTGTAAACCCTGCCTTTTATAGAATCTAGATAGGCATATACCTTTTTCCTGAGCCAAAGTTAGAGCTCTTAAATATTAAGGTGTATAAATTTAGATTGAGTATCTTTAATGCTTAGATCTTGGAATTTAAAAACATATGTATATACTTTTTTGTTTTATGTTTACATATCTATATATACACACATACTTTTTAATTGTATAAATGCTCTGTATCTATAGTAGGAATGTAAGAAAGTGCAGGTGAGCAAAAATTAAAATGTCTCATAATCCTGCCCTCAATAGATATCATTATTTACTTTTTGGTGTATGTACTTTAAAACATTTTCCTGCATATTTAAGTATATATTCAATATAATGTGACATGCTTGTCTTTGGGATGTCACCCAAAAGTAGTTTGAGAGAGTTTTTATATTTACACAGTTGCATGAGGTGTAACTAAAAATGTCATTTAAAAAACAATCTGCATCTTCAAATAAGTGTTTTTTCAAAATAGTAATAAAGCTCAAATCCTCTTTGGAAAGAGAAGGAATATAAATAGACACCTTGGGAGGTTATAAATTTACTCTTACAATGCCATCATTGTTTTAAGCTCATCTTTTGGAATATTATTTTCTCTTTGAATATCATAAGTGATGGCAAATCTTGATGCTTTGAAGCCGGATATAAATTTTTGAAATGGCTAATGGTCATTTAATCCCAGGGAATAAGGTGAATGGGAAAACTGAGTAACGTCACTTGGAGTATAAAATGATTTATGATTATGAAATTGACTTAAGTGTAAGGATTATGATTTTCTCATAAACTGGTCCTATGGGAGTTTTCAAAGAGAAATTATAAAACTCCTTTAATCAACTTAACATCATTGAAATATTTGCTTAGTTTTTTTGAGTGACTGCTTTGAAATAAATCATATATGATTCTTTCAGTTCTGATTTATTTGAAAGTTAAGATTTACTTTTATCTTTCTCATTCAGAAACATTCCTAGAATGCTTAATGTCCTACAGCACTGCTAAGAGGGTGTGATTGGTCAGTGGACTGGTAATCAGGAAAGAGTGGTTCTGGCCCTGGTTTTCCTTGAGCATGAGAATGATACTCATCTGAACTGTTGTTTCCTCTTCTAGAAAATGAGATGTTGTAATTAAGTGAACTCTGCATGTTTGATATTGACCAGTGTGTAAAATACTCAAGTTATTTGGCATTCTACTGGATAATTAGGAAGTTTGTATAAGGTTTTCACTAGTTAGGAGATCAGTATAAATAAAATATTGCATATGCTTTAGTTACAGTATGTCATTGCTTTGTAGGAGAGGTGTGAGTCAGCACTTCAATTGAGGGGGGGAGAGAGTGTATGGAGGAGATAGGCTTTTACGAAAAATATTGTTTCATGTGTTGAAAATATAATCTTTACAAAGCTTCAGAGATGTGAAAGTGCACATAAGGTCTTTAGAAATACTCTTTCAAAACCCCAAGTTCATGAATTTTCATTTCATGAAGATTTTGTTCTATGCAAAGAAGTTACTGCAGAGACTACCATATTCCATATTTCAGATTCACAGTTTTAAGCCATTGTGTAAACATGTGCTCATGTATTAAGAGAAAGTTTTTACCTAAGAAAACACAGACTTGCAGTTGCTGTGGGGATGAAGATGAGTGATCTCATAAAGAGGGTAATATAGAGCAATT